CTTATTTTTCTTCCGCTGATTTTTTGTTTCGACATTTATCGAAAAGACTTTTTGTTCATCGTAAAGGACATTAAAAGTTAGGAACAAATACCCAACGCATATGAACTATGACCCCTTTCAAAGTTATTGCCCCCTTTGCAAGAAATGCTTGTTATTGCTACTCCTCCGAAACCGTAATCCATAGAAGAATGAAACCTTCACCAATGTCTTTGACTACTTGAGGGGACTCTGGAATCTATTCATTGCGAAAGTATTCGGTGACCCCTTCAATGAGTTATAGCCCCTGAAAATTTTTGAATTTTAAAAATATTTAAATATTTTCAAAACAAGAAGTCGTAGAGACATGGGACTAACTGCATTAGATTCATTGACCTTTGATCTTAAAATTCATGTTAAGGTCAAGGTCATTCCAAAATTGAGAAATTAAGCTCTTTTTATATCTTTTTTTGTCTTTTCACATATACAAACTGTCTTAGCATCATTATCATGCACTTTTAAACTATTTTTAAGATTTAATTCGTATCCCTTAAAATTGACCTCATTAAAAGTTATTTCCCTTTGTGCGAAAAACCTTGTTATTGCTACTACCTCGAAACCGTAAACCGCAGAGACATAAAACCTTCACTAATGTTTTTGACTCTTTGAGAAGACTCTGGAATCTATTCATTGCAAAAATATTCGGTGACCCCTTCAATGAGTTATTGCCCCTGAAAATCTTTGAATTGTACAAATAATTAAAAATTTTCAAAATGAGAAGTCATAAAGACATGGGACTAACTGCATAAGATTCACTGACCTTTGCTCATAAAATTTATGTAAAGGTCAAAGGTCAAGGTCATTCAAAAATTGAGAAATTAAGCTCTTTTTATTTCTTTTTTGTCTTTTAACATATACTTAATGTCTTTGCACCATTAATATGTACTTTTAAACCTATTTCAAAGATTTCATTCTTGTCCCTTAAGATTGACCCTATTAAAAGTTATTGCCCCTTTTGCAAAAAACCTTGTAACTGCTATTGCTCCGAAAAAGTAAATCGTAAAGACATGAAACCTTCACTTATGTCTTATGGGACTTTAGGCACAACTTTTATGTTCAAGTGCAAAAGGATCTGGTGACTCCTTGAATGAGTTATTGCCCTTTAATTCTTTTGTGCTTACCATGAAACCTTATAACTTTAAAACTATAGGTCATAGAGACGTGAGGTTAATTACAATGTGACCCTTGACCTTGAATATAACTTGAAGGTCAAAGGTCAAGGTCACCTCCAAATTTTGAATTTTTTTCATTCTTTTCTTCTTTTAAGCAATTCCTGTTTTCTTTTTGATGAAATTTAATTTTAAAGAGATAAATATTACATGAAATTGAAATTCAAAGAAGGTGGAAAGACCTCTTATTGTTCTGTGAACAATAAGTCTCCTAGTTCTATGTAAAACTTTGATCGTCAATTGTGGTCCCGCCCTACCCCCGGGTGTCATGATTTAAACAAACTCGAATCTGCACTACCTGAGGAGGATATCATAAAAGTTTTATCTTTCCTGGGACAGTGGTTCTTGAGAAGAAGATTTTTACGGATTTTTTTTTATATATTTCTATGTAAGACTTTGATTGTCAATTGTGGTCCCGCCCTACCCCCGGGGGTCATGATTTGAAAAAAAAAAAACTTGAATTTGCACTATCTTTTCATGTAAGTTTCATAATTCCTGGCCAAGTGGTTCTTGAGAAGAAGATTTTTACAAGATGACATTAATTTTCACTAATTTTTAATTATCTCCTCTTGGAATAGGATTTGGACCTTCATTTTAACAAAATTGAATCTCCTTTACCCAAGAATACTTGTGGCAAGTTTCATTGAAATTGGCCCTCTGGTTCTTGAGAAGAAGTTGAAAATGTGAAAAGTTAACAGACAGACAGACGCCGGACAAAATGTGATCAGAAAAGCTAACTTTATCCTTCGACTCAGGTGAGCTAAGAACAAAAATCTAAAAATGCAACAAATGCAACTTGTTTCTTACCATGTTGGCTTTTGCTGGCATGTTATCATAATGTATATTCTGTATTCGAATCCTTGCAGTGGTCTCCCCTTCATTGTGTGACTGGCCACTGTCTGTCTGTCCTATACTCCTCTCCGCCATTCTTAAAGATAGAGACTGATACAAGATTATTCAAGTCCAAAAAGATTTTTTAAAAACTAAACAGAATAAAAATTTATTTAAAATACGTATTAAATAAGAAAGACAATAGAGAGGAAAAGTGCATGTGTTAGTGATGTTAGAAGAGAAAGGGCTTAGAAATACAAGTTAAAGATCAATTCAGCTCACCTTAAATCTGTTTTTTCATGCAAAAAACCAAACCTTTCCTGTGTGCCTTGGTTATTTATTTGGCTACATGTCATGTTGGTCCGGGGTGGGAAGGGGGGGGGGGGGGGGGGGGGGGGGCTGCTGTCATACAGCCTGTCAACTAATAAATTCAGGGGGTTAAATAGGACTCAATCTAGCTTAGTGAACACAATTTAAAAATAATCAAAATGTCACATAAAAAAGCTTGCATCTTACCACATCATCTAAAGTCGGCAATTATTGATTTGGCATACTTTGGCAAAATCTTTCACTGTAGCTAAACTCCTTTCTGATAAAGAAAAAAACAGAACTAAGTTTCCTTCAGTTGAACAAATATAACATAAACCCAGAAGGAGATAGAAGACCAAGGAGGTATAACTTAATTTATCTTCTCAACCTTACCTGTAGAAATGGCCGCAGTGTACTTGACTCTCCTTTTGATGACCAGATTTCTCTCAAACAGGAGGATAGAAGCAGATCTATTTTTCATACAAAAAAATTAAAAGAGATCTAGAGTCAATAAAAGGGAAAAAAAAGTAAAGACTTTCTCAGAAAATTTAACATGGAGAAGTTTGTCTCTTACAAAGTCACAATGCAATTGCTTCTTACCAAGTTGTCTATTGTTGGCTTGCTGTCATAGTGGATCCGTATCCTTGCCATGTCCGCCTATTTGTTTGCAGCCTGCCAATGTCTGTCTGTCTGTCGTTTACTCCTCTCCGCCCTTCTCAAAGACAGAAACTGATACAGGATTATTCAAGTCCAAATAGAATTTTAAAAACATGTCAGAAAATAATACATTTAAAATATACATTAACTAAGAAAGACAATAACAAAGGATAAATGTGTGTATTAATAATGTTAGAAAGCAATAGGGCTTAGAAATATATGATGAGAAACAATTCAGCTAGCTCACCTCGTAATTGGTTTTTAATACAAAAATCAAACCTTTTCCTATGGTCCTTAGTTGCTAAGTAGCTTCAAGGCTTACTGCGTCTGGAAGGAACCGCTATCATACAGCCTGTCAGTTAAAAAATTCAGGCTCAAATGGGACTCAGTCTTGCTCATGTGAACACAAGTTATAAATAATCAAAATGTCACATAAAAAGAGCCTGCATCTTACCTCATCATCCAAAGTTGGCGGTTGTTGATTCGGCAAATTCCTATTCAATGTTGATCCATGATGGCTATAAACCCTCTGATAAACCAAAAAAAAAAAAAGATGTCAAAGAGCAATGTTTCCTTCAGTTGATCAAATATAACAGAATTCCCGAAAGAGATAGAAGAGCAAGGAGGTATAACTTTATCTTCTCAGCCTTACCTGTAGAAATGGCCGCAGTGTACTTGACTCTTCATTTGATGATTAGATTGGTCTCAAACAGGAGGATGGAGGCAAGTATATTTTTTCACTAGAAAAATTGGATGAAAGTCAATAATAGGTAAAAATGTCAACACTTTGTCAAATAACTAAAGAAGAAAATTTCACAAGGAGAAGTTTGTCTCTAACCGTCAATCCCATGTTATCACTTGTCCATCCTTACTCTTGGTGCTCTCATTGAAGAGTTATCCAGATGACACTAGGACTGATTCTTGCCAAGCATTTCATCTGTTGAATGAAAAATAGAAAAAAGATTAAACAAAAACGCAATTGGGAATAAGCGAGAACAGAAAACAAAAAATCTAAAATTGCAACAAATGCAGTTATTTCTTACCAAGGTGGTTATTGTTGGCTTGTTGTCATAGTGGACACTCTGTACTTTGATCCTTGCAATGCTCTCCTACTTGCTGTGCAGCTGTCCATCTGTCTGTTCTGTCCTATACTCTTCTCCGCCATTCTCAAAGATAGAAACTGATACAAGATTATTCAAGTCCAAAAAGATTTTTGAAAAACAAGACAGAATGATGATTTATTCAAAACATAAAGAAGATAAAAGATAAAGATATAAAGACAAAACAATAAGAAAGGGAATGCGCATGTTTTAGTAATGTTAGAAAGAGGTAGGGATTAGAAATACATGTATAAGCTAAAGAAACAATTCAGCTTACCTCATGTCTTGTTTTTTAATACAAAACCAAACCTTTTCTGGGGTCTTTGGTTTGCTTCTTGCTGCTTCCGGCCTGCTAATTGAAAGTTTAGAGGTCAACTTGGGACTCAGTCTACCTTGTGTGAAAACAATTGATAAGTAACAAAAATTTGAAGAAAAAAAAGATTTTTAAAAAAGAATCTTTCTGTATTCTCAAAAATTGGCAGTAGTTGATCGGACAAACTCAGTGTTGCTTACTTTTTGTGCTCTCGTTGATAGGTCCTTGAGTCGACCTACACAAAGGGGGCTGATTCTTGATTTTTGTCTATTGAATGAAACATGGAAAAAAATCAGACAAGTGAATCATTTGGATCAAGTGAGTTCAGAAATCAAAATTCCACAATGGTGACAAATGCACTTTCTTACCACATTTGACTTTTGTTTGCCTGAAGTAATAATGTGTTCAGATTTTTGTTATGTCCTCCTCTTTGATGTACTGCCGGACACTGTCTGTATGTCTGTACTGCATTCCTTCTAGCTTTTGTAAAAGACAATATCTGACAGAGGATTAGTAAAATCAAAAAGAATTACATACAAAAAGCAAAACAAAACAAAAAAAAACATACAAAAATAATTTGTTAGAAAGAGAGACAATTACAAAAGAGAAAGTGCAAATGTTAGTAATAAAAAAGGGGGAAGGAGGGTATTTTGCATAAAAATAAAAGCTAAAGAAACAATTCATCTCACCTCATGTTTGGTTTTTAATACAAAACCAAACCTTTTCAGTGGTCCTTGTTATCTAACTGGCTATAGGTCTTGATGCTTCCGGTGGTACCTGTTGTCATACAGCCTGTCAATTGAAAGGCATGGGGTCAAATTGGACTCAGTCTAGCTCATTTGTGAACAAAAGTTAAAAATAAGCAAAGTGTTGAGAAAATGAGCTCAAATCATACCGCATTATTCAATGTTTGCAGTAGTTGATAGGACAAACTCTAACTCTGTGTTGCCTACTTTTGGCACTCAGGTCATCCTACACAGAGGGTTGATTCTTGCTAATCTTTATGTCTATTGAGAGAAACAAAAAAGAGATCAAACAAGTGAATCATTTGAATCATTCAGAAATCGAAAATTCCACAATGGCGACAAATGCAGTTTCTTACCACATTTGACTTTTGTATGCCTGAAGTAATAACGTGTTCAGATCCTTGTTGTATCTTCCTCTTTGTTGTGTGGCCGGCCACCTTTGTCTGTCTGTACATTATTCCTCCCAGCCCTTGTCAAAGAGAGAAACTGATAGAAAATTAGTAAAGTCAAAAAGAATTAAAAACAAGAAAAAAAAAAAACATGAAAAATGCATTCAAAAAATATTTTGTTAGAAAGAGAGACTATTTCAAAGAAAAAGTGCAAATATTAGTAATAAAAATGGGGAAAGGGGAGTATTTTGCACAGAAAACACAGAAAACAAAGAAACATTTCAACTCACCTGATGTTTGGCTTTTAAGACTGAAACCAAACCTCTCCCTTGGCCGATCCTGGCTGCTGAGTGGCTACATATATCCTGCTGCTCTTCATCCTATCATTCTGTGTTCTGATCCTTGTTATGTCCTCCTCCTTGTTGTGTGGCCGGCCACTGTCTGTCTGTCTCTCCTATACTCCTCTCTGCCCTTGTCAAAGAGAGAAACTGATAGAAGATTAGTAAAGTCAACAAGAATCAAACACAAGAAACGAAAAACATATGAAAAATGCATATAACAAAGAAATAGTTAGAAAGAGAGACAATTACAAAGGGAAAGTGCAAATGTTAGTAACCAGAAAGGGTAATGAAGGGTATTTTGCATAGAAATAAAAGCTAAAGAAACAATTCAGCTCACCTTATAATTGGTTTTAATACAAAAACCAAACCTCTCCTTTGGCCGATCCTGGCTGCTGAGTGGCTATATATCCTGCTGCTCTTCATCCTATCAGTGGAAAGTCTAAGGTAAAACTTCAGGCTATATCTTGTGAAAACAATTTTAAATTTTTTGCAAAATTTTCAAGAATGAGACATACATAATACCATGTTTTGGTTATTTCTAAACCTTTGTTTGGAAACAAAGGGCAAATGGAATTTAGGCATATATTGAATGAGTTGCTTTTGCCAATTATTGCAAGAGTATTTGTTAAGTTGTTGAAGTGTCCTATTTTGCAAAGCAATGAAAACCTTTGGTATTTTCAAATGGAATTCTTGGATCTGTTGGCACGGTGTCATAGTGAATACTCTGTATCTGCAGATCCTTGCAATGTTTTCTGCTTTGTTGTACAGCCTGCCACTGTCTGTCTGTCTGTCTGTCCTTTTCAAAAATGGAAACTGATACAAGATTATTTCAAGTCCAAAATGCTTTTAAAAAAACACAGAATAATATTATATGTATGTATTTAAAATACATATGAACAAAGAAGAGATAAAGACAAAGGGGAAGTGCATGTATTAGTAGTGTTAGAAAGAGGTAGGGCTTCCAGAAATAAGTTTAAGAAACAATTCAGCTCACCTCATATCTGGTTTTTATGCAAAAAACCAAACCTTTTCCTTGGTCCTTAGTTGGTAAGTGGCTATATGTCTTGCCCCTTTCTGGTGAGGGGGGAGGTATCTGCCATATAGTCTGTCAAATGAAAGTTAAGGGCCAAATGAGACATTGTCTTTCTCATTTGAACACAAGTTAGAATTAGCAAAGTGTCAAGAGAAAAACTTAAACTTACCTTTTCATCTAAAGTTGGCAGTAGTTGATCGGACAAACTCCTTCTCAATGTGGCTTACTCTTGACCCTCTGCTTGATAAGTCATTGGGCGGATCTACACGGATTCTTGCTAAGCTTTTTGTCTATTGAATGAAATATGGAAAAAGATCAAACAAGTGAATCATTTGGATCAAGAGATTTCAGAAATCAAAAATTCCACAATGGTGACAAATGAAGATTCTTACCATATTTGACTTTTGTTTGTCTGAAATCATAGTTGATATTCTGTGTTCAAATCCTTGAAACGTCCTCCGCTTTGTTGTGTTGCCGGCCACAGTCTGCCTGTCTTTTATTCCTCTCCACCCTTGTTAAAGAGAGAAACTGAGAGAAGATTAGTAAAATCAAAAAGAATTAAAAACAAAAACACATGAAAAATGCATAAGAAAAATAATGTGTTAGAAAGAGAGACAATTACAAAAGAGAAAGTGCAAATGTTACTAATGAAAAAGGGGAAAGGATGGTATTTTGCATAGAAATAAAAGCTAAAGAAATGATTCAGCTCACCTAATGTCTGGTTTTTAATACAAAAACCAAACCTATCCCTTGGTCAATCCTGGCTGCTAAGTGACTACATATACTGCTGCTCCTCATCCTCTCGGAGGAAATTCTAAGGTAAAAATTGGATTCAATCTAGATCCTGTGAAAACAAGTAAAAAAACTGATGTCAACGTTTAAAGAATTAAACTCCCATATTACCGTATAATCCCTATTAACCGCCCTACCCCTATAAGCGCCCCCTTAGGTCTTTCAACTGTCAGGAAATAAGGGCCCCCTGTAAGTGATTAAATTCAACTAGAATCGTATCAAAAAAATGAAGAAAGTGAAAATGAAACTTGTCTATCATCCAATTTCTCAGTGGAAAATGAACAATTTAGTAAAATTTGGGTGGAGTATCTTCAATGTGAGTGAAGTTAGACATTATCTTAGTTGTTTCTTGTACTGTAGATTCCTAATTATACGCGTGGAATTATTTATCACGTAATTTCACGAGAAGCAACACACGCGAAATAAAATTGCTCGCCTTTATTTTAATGTTGCTGAAATCTATGTTGAATCTCTTGACCAACCGTCCGTATGCGAATTATTATTCTCGCTATTTGAAGTTGAAGAGCACATTCGCGATAAAAAGTACTCACAAAAATAAGGAATCTACAGTATTTATTTTTATTTTCAAACAATTTTTTGAAGTTAAAATATGACACTAAATACCGGTGTGTTTAAGAGAACACCAAAATAACCGCCTCCTTTTGCAAATTTCTAAGCGCCCGGGGCGGTTAATAGGGATTATACAGTACCATGTTTTGAGTCCATTCTAAATCTGTGTTTTAAAAACATGCATGGAGCAAAGGAAATTCATACATAAAATGAACCTGAGCTATTTTTGCCGATCTTTGATAGAGTATTTTGTTAATTTGTTAAATCAGCACCTGTCTTGCATAACAATGAAACCTTTGATACTTTCCGAATGAAGTCACGTTAATATCTAAATTCATTTAATTGCTACATTTGAACACGCAGGCAAAATTCTATAACCCTGTGGTGAGCCTCCATTTTTCACTATGTACATGTACATATTTAACCCTTTTTACGCCTCAGATCACTGGACCTTGAAAGTAAGTTTGAGTCCGTGCGGCAGTTGGACATGGCAGTACTGATAGAGAAGGACATTCCTATACTTCTCTAGATTTTGGTAATTTTGTGCAATAAAATAGTCATGGCAGACTCTACCATATAGCATAGCTGTTATTGTCAATATGTAGTGTCCTACTTTTCTGAGGTACATGTAAGCCTTGTTATTATTGTTCATTGAAATATAAATGCTGTAAATATCTTAAAACAACCAGTTTTGGAATTTCTCGATCAACATAGTCAGCCTTAACTGTTTTGCTATTTGAGATTTATTATCTTTTATATTTCTTTATACGTTATTTATATGTACAGTTAGTCAAAAGTGTTCGAGTAATGTTTGCTCGGTGTCCCGTTCATGTCTTGTAGTATGTCTTTTGTTCTGTTATATTTGTAACAAAGTGTAAAGTAAAGGTATAACATTGTAGTAAAGCATCTTAATGCTATTTGTACACCATATGTACATGTGTATGCACAGTTTTAACTTACAATATGTTAAGTATATGTCTACCTTGACATTATATTGTGCATGCGTACTTAACAGGTCCTCATCCTGTGTGTGTGTAGATGTCCCTGTAGCAGATACGGCCACATCTGAAGTCTTGAGCGCAAGACGTTTACCTTTGCATTGTGCGTGTATGTGTGTGTAGGCCTTCACGACAGTAGGACGGGAGGAAGGATTTCCAAACCAGTCCGGAGACCAATTGTGTTTGTATTAAGGACAACCGTACGCGTCATCGCCCAGCTGAACACTGACAGTTATCCAGTTTATTTTGTATATTTTGATTTATTAAATGTAATCTTTAAAATTTAAAGGAAATTTTGATGTAAATTAATCAGTTAGAAGGGCAGTTTGGATCAACATCCCATAAGCTTGGTCATTAACATGACATAAAAGCACTGCAAAATCTGTCCCACTTTTCATTGCAGTAATTTTCCCCAACATAAAATATAAATATATTTAAAAACTTTTATGTGTAGTTCTCATTGCATTCTCAGCAGAAACCATAATCCAAAATTCCCAACAAATGCAGCTTGTTTCTTACCAAGTTGGCTATTGTTGGCTTGGTGTCATAGTGGATACTCTGTTTCCGGATCCTTGCAAGGCTCTCCTTTTTTGCTGTGCAGTCTGCCACTGTCTGATTGTCTGTCTCTCCTCTAGGCCCTTATCAAAGATAGAAACTGATACAAGATTATTTAAGTCCAAAATGATTTTTAATAACAAGACAGAATAATACTATATTTGAAATACACATTAACAAAGAAAGACAATGAAAAAGGGAAAGTGCATGTGTTAGTAATGTTAGAAAGAGTAAGAGCTTAGAAATACAAGCTAAAGAAACATTTCAGCTCACCTTATATCTGGTTTTAATACAAAAACCAAACCTTTTCCATGATCCTTGGTTGCTAAGTGACTACAAGTCTATCAATGAAAGTTAAGAAGTCAAATGGGACATTGCCTATCTCATATTTGAACACAAGTTAAAAATAGCAAAGTGTCAAAAAAAAAAAAAGCTCGAATCTTACCATGGCAGTAGTTGATCAGACAAATCCTTCTCCAGTTGCTTACTTTTAGCTCCCTGCTTGAAGAGTCATTGAGCCAATTTATACAGAGGAGCTGATTCTTGCTAAGCTTTTTGTCTATTGAGTGAAATGTGGAAATTAAGTTGTCAATCAAGTGAATCATTTGGATTTAGTGAGTTTAGAAATCAAAAATTTTGAAATGGCGACAAATGCAGTTTCTTACCACATTTGACTTTCGTTTGCCTGACGTAGTTAGTGGATATTCTGTGTTCAGATCCTTGTTATGCCCTCCTCTTTGTTGTGTGGCCGGCCACTTTCTGTCTGTACTTTACTACTCTCTGCCCTTGTCAATGAGAGAAACTGATAGAAGATTAGTAAAGTCAATAAAATTCAAAAAAAAGAAACGAAAAAAAAAAAATGAAAAATGCATATAAAAAATAATTTATTAGAAAGAAAGACAGTTACAAAGGGAACGTGCAAATATTAAAAATAAGAAAGGGGAGAGAAGGGTATTTTGCAAAGAAATACAAGCAAAAGAAACAATTCAGCTCACCTGATATCTGGTTTTAAATACAAAAACCAAACCTTTCCCTTGGTTGATCCTGCATGACTACTATGTGGTTATATATCCTGCACATGCTGCTTGTCATACGCTCAGTGGAAAGCCTAAAGGTAAAACTTGGATTCAGACTAGATCTGTGAAAACAAGTAAATATTTATGTCAATTTTTCAAAAATGAGACCGC